GGTAGAGGCACTGAGAGGCAAAACCCACTTCCATCCTGCAAACTTTCACATTATTTTACAGATGGTCACCTGACCAGGGAATGAAATTTGAGGTGCTAACAAAATTATATGGGTGACAGTTGGCTATTAGAAAGGAAAATACAGTGCTTATGCACCTTGGAAGTAGTGATAGACTATTTAGAAAAGAAGATGGGAGGAAGAATGCTCTATTTAGTAACTAGCCATATTATGAAAATATGCCCACAATGCAAATGCATGGGGGGAAGGCTGTTACCTAGTGTTACATTGCATATTGTTTATGACAAGGCTGGTGACGGGAATTGAGGAAAGTCCTCACTATTTTGGAGGCACAAGGAATTGTGTTCACGTCCCATCAGCTGATTTGCCTTGTCTGCCCTGAATTTCTGCTTTGCCTCAGTGAAGGGTTGGTCTGTGTGATGAATGTTCCCAGATTAGTTTTCCTTGTGAAGAGACTTGCTTTTTGTAGCTACTTACTTTGAGCAAACTGTGAAAGAATGAGATTTGTCTGACCTATACTATGACTTGTCAGTGTAGCCCGTGATAACATGTTTCAGTTAGTTTTCTTTAAAACACTTGGCCTCTATAGGCTCTGTGGTACGGTTGTGTCTGTTCTGCAGCTGTTGAGTCCAGGCCAGTTCTTAGGAAAATGTTGTGTATTGACCCATAGCACTGTGGACAGTTTTAACTAGCCCAGGGGAACAAAAGAGCTTCAATCCAAGCCTAGTAGCTTAATGAAATGTTTGCTTTTACATTTTTTGTGACAAAATCCTATGGCTTTGTCAGTAGGAGACCGGAGAGTTTAGCGATGCTTGAAAATTCCTATCTATGGGAAGGAAAGCATGTCAGAAATACCCAGATTTGTGTTAAGATAGAAATGTTGTCTTTTTTGCTGGCAAGTGAAAGATGGCTGTGCGTGTGTGCCAGGTCTTGCCCAGTTCTTATCTAGGTAAGTTTCAGTTGCTCAATCTGAACACAGCCTTGTTTCCAGTGGCTTGAAACAGAGAAGGTTTGGAAGGCTGTAGCTGTTCTGATTCATGTTCTGGAAGGAATCCTATTGTCCAATTTTTTATGCCTATCACATGTCTAATGTTCTTACATATTCAATGGGCAAATTTCTTTATCTGACCAAATGTTTTTTCATCTTAATTGGCATGCAGATGGCTGTGCAGCTCACCCAGATCTGACTAAATCGTATTTGCTTGTTTGATAGACGTTCGTGTAGGTGCTCAGTGCAGTTTCCAACCCATACTGCTGGGGTTGTTTCTTATATATACTGGTTGACAAATTGTTCCTTCTCCTTTCTAATTCTTCAGAACACAGTGAGGGCTTCTAAAGAAATGAGGCTTTTTCTCGATAAACTGGTGATCAGAGCTGCACAGTTTATGGCAGCAGTCAGATCCAGTCCCCATTTGGCTTGGTGTGTTTGCCACTGGCACTTCTGGGAGCGCTGTTTGGTTTTTGTGGCCTGTTGCCGTTTCAGGGTTACACCTCTTTTGTGGTGTCAGAATGCCAAATCTCCAAGAAACAATGAACAAAAAAAGCCAAAGTGATGCTGTGGTGCACAGTGCTTATGTGATCCTTAAATATTTAAACAGGAGTGTGTTAAATTGATGATTTTACTAGTGTGCGATGCCACCTGGGAGACAGAATCTTTTTCTCTCTCTCAAGTCTGTCTTCTACGTTTTCAGAAGGTTCCTGGAAAAAATTCAGAGAAGGGGGGACGGCACAAAAAGTGGTGACTTTCAGCTAAGTCTACTAAAGTTTCTTAAACAAGAGGTTGTCTTGTATGTTAATGGAAAGAGGTAATGCCAGTAATGTTAAAAAAAAAAAAAAGCTGTTTTGTAGTCTTTGTAGTGGTTTTGTAGCTGAAATACAATTCCTAAACTAGTGTATATGTGTGTGTATATTTCTGTTCTTAATTGTGAGATGGTGATTGGCAGGTAATTCTGTTTGTCTTAAAAACGTGTTTATTCAACTAATGCATAATTGCATGACTCTCAAATAGCTTATTTTGTGTGTTGCCAGTAATTTGCAATTTAAAAAATACTTAACTTGTACTGAAGGAGCACAAGTTGATCTGTGGTGCTTTTTAAAAAGGTGGGTGGTAATGGCAAAGGGACATGGGATGCAAATTGAAACTACTTTGGAGTTGAATTATTCATCTCAAAGTAGCATTTATGCAGTGCATTATAGATTCTTGGTAAACCAGTAAAGTACTGTTTGGGGATTTCTTTACCTAATAGAGTTTTGAGAAGAAAATGCTATGACCTCAGGGTCGTTCATAATTACTTGTAATGTACATCTGTGAAGATCAGCGGAGGCATAAACAAATCGATAAGGTAGCAATCTCTTTTTTATTAAAATGGATTAAACCATTCAAGAGACATGTCTCTTCAACTTGTCCCATGAAACTCTTAAATAATTCTCAGAGATAGTTCCAACCTGACGTTTGACATCTTTTTCATCTTTTGAACATTAGATAACTGAACCACAGCCACACAGTATAGTTCTGTAGAATAGAGATTGTCTGTGGTATTGTTTTTTCATTGACATAGTCAGAAGAATAAATTGCAGAAAGCAAGCTGTGAAGTAGTTTTTCTTGGATTTTAATATGAAGTAGCCCAAAACAGGATTACTTATCTCTTATAATTGTGAATGTACTACTGCTTAGCAGTTAATAGTTATTTTTAGAAAATGGATTTTGTACTTTTTTATTGCTTTTATTCTGGAAATACACTTTTAGAGGGAACTGGGGCAGCAAGCCTGTTGTCTCTTATGCATAGTGGATCACATCAGGCAGCGCGTTCCTGCAACCCTACCTTCATGGTAAAGCAGTTCTTCATGCTTAGTGAATTGTCTGCCTCTCTGGTGCATCACAGTTGTAACCTTGCGAGTTGTCTTTGTTACTGAAAGACAAATTCAGATTAAAATACTTGCCCCGGTGCACACCTTCTGATAGTGTCCTCTTCAGAAAAAACTGGCCTACACTCATGTGAAGTAATTCTGCAGTCGCGTGTATGACTTGGAAAATGCATTAGGGCACCATTTGAATGTTTCAGTTTCTTCTTGGCATCTCCTTTACTTTAAGCATCAGTGATTTCTGAGATGCATTCACGTACCTTTGCAAGAACATTATTATGCACATGAAGATAGTATGAGTACCAGAAGAATTTTCTCAGGTGAAAAATGGGAGGCCTTTTATTATGAAGAAAAGCTCAGTAATAACCAGTACTGCTGACATATTGGGTGTACTGTTGACTATACATGGGAAGAATCTATTGAAATAAGTATTCCATTTGATTTCAGTTTTTAATATGTATACGAGTTTATTCTGGGTGTTACTGAATACAAGTGATGCAATATTGTCTTTTCCTTCCTTTCTTTTTTTTTGTGATTAATCTAAGTTTGTAATATACTCTGGGCAAGAAGTTGTAGTTAACTCATTTTGCTGCAAAAGTTCGTGGTTTTTTTTTTTTGGTCCAGTCTCAGTATTGGTATATCTGTTTATGCCTGCTTGGTCATTAATGATAGGGTAGTATGCTAGTGTTTGGCTCTGTTTACATAGGCTAAATCATTCAGTATGGCATCTGAAACGTTTTCCTTAATGCCGCTTCTAGTTGCAGTGTAAATGCAGTCTAAACACGTGTGTGGTTAAGCATTTTGCCATTCCAGAGTAACTGGCTAGGATTTGGCTTTTCTACAAATCTTTTAGCGGGTTCTTTCTCCCCAGAGCAATGGCCTTGGGCACCATGGTGACAGCAGTCAAGTGGCAAAGAAGCTGTTGTCCTGTTACCAAGTTTTAATAAGACTTCTGCTGAAATCCTGTTGTTCATGCTTCCCTCCATCTCATCCCCCTGCTTTTTTTGTTTTACATCTCTTGGCATTGAGTGAACTATATTCATGAATCTATTTGAAAAACATTGGTCATTAGTAATAAACAATACAGTTAATTCCTTAATGTTCATTGTTAACAGAACACACCTATTGCCTTGGAAACACTGTTAATTAGGGTTGAATGAAATATATAGAACTAGATGTTAAGTAGCTTCTTTAAAAAAAAGTTTGGCTTGGACAGCTGTATTATTTTCTCATTCTCTATGCCTTTTAATTAAAGTGTGAAAGGGATAAAAAAAGGCATTTCTTAAAAATTAAGATGCATGTTTTGAAGAAGAATACAAACAATGCATATTGTGATTAAAGATTTTCTGTTGTATACATACACACAGACATGCACATCACTTCAAAAGAGTTGTTAGTGTTCATTTACACAACATGCTCGTGGTAACTATGTCATTTGCTCAGAAGGAAACAAAATAAATTTATTAGGTTTTTCATATGAAAATGTTTTGTTTGCTAGAGATGGGTGCAGTGATGTGCGTAGTGCAGCCGCTGGCGAGCACTGCCTGAGCCCTGCCGCTGCGGCTGCTGGGCAGCGTTGCACATGTACGGGGCTGCTGGGCTTCCACCCCGCCTGCAAGAAAGAGCTTCTGCTCGCTGGTTAGAGCATGCAGATAGGAAGTTTAAGGAAAGTACTCGGGGTTTTTTTTTGGTGTGTCCCCCCCCACACTTGGGGAACACTGTGTACACTTAACTGAATACATTTATTTAATAACTCTCCCTCTCTCTGCAGAGTTCATCCCAGGAAGTGAGATTCAAGCTTATGGAAAGGAGTTAGAGACTTCCAAAATAGTAATTAAAAAAAACCCACGCCAAAAACTCCTATCTGCACAGACACAAGTTGATCTAGAGATTCATACGTAGAGCTGATGGGGAGGCTAACTCTTTTGCTTTTGGTTGTATTGGAGATCTGAAGTTAATGCTGATGAGAAGTAAAATTGGAGAATGTGGGTTACTTGGTGTGCCGAAAGATCACAGAGGCAGCAGTGAAGAGACAAAACTTCTCTTTGAAGCAGTAGCTTCAGCTGTGTCTTATTGTGTGCGCTGGGAACTGAGAGAAGTAGCAGCCAACCTGGGAGAAAATGCCAGCTAAAGGTAAATACTTCTTCAACGAAAATGACGACTGCAGGATATCAGACCCGCTCTATGAGAAGTACCGCTATACGAGCCAGCAGCATCCACTCCTGCTATTGCTGCTCTTCATTGCAATCGTCTTCTGGACTACTCTAATTATAATCTTTTTTGTCAATGATGTGAGTATACTTTTTTCTTTGTGTTGGATGTTTTCAAAGATGGTGAGGAATCAGTATAACAGCACACACAACATTTGTAGCTAAATATTTTTTTGAGCCACGTGGTATCAAAGTTGCAATGTTGAAAGAAATGAAGTAATTGTGTATGTAATATTGTGAATGTTTTTGAAGGGACAGGGAAGAGAAGAGACCTTGTTGTCAGGCACATTCAGAGTTACTATACGGGTTTGTTCTTTCCTTCCTGTATGTTGTGAACAAACCATAATCTGTGCTAAATGGTAGCTGCAATAGTAAATATGTAACAAAAGCGCCAAGGAAGGAATAAGAAAGCAAGGTAAAATGTCCTGCATTTCTCATATTTTCTTTCTGGTCATCTAAGAAATGTAAAGTAATATAGTGATTCATTGCTTGTGAATTCCTGAGGTGGTATTTTTTTTAAGGATTTGTAGATATTCATTCCTATTCGGTGTTTGTTTTTTTTGTAATAAAAACACAACAGGAATCTCCCAGTACAACGAGTGATCTGTTGAATGAATAGTTAATTAGCAAAGAGCGGGGTTCCTATAGGCATAGGAAGGATGCAGCTCGAAGATTTTTTGTTGTGTAGCGTAATATAATTTTCTGTAAAGAAAATAGGTGTTCCTCAAGCCAACCCAGTTGACAGCTGATAAAAAGGGGAGTTGGTTTAAAGATAATGTTGTGAAAAACTAATAAGGAAGTTGTTATAATCCTTCCTTTCTAACACTGCTTTCCAAATACTGTGCTTCATGATAAAGTGTCTTTTAAGTCTCTGTTTGGCAACAAATATAATCTTACCAATTGCGCTTGTATCCCTTTTAGCTTTTATTGCTTAAGAAAGGAAAGAAGTAGCAACACAATTTGTATGTTGCAAGTTATCTCCTGTAAAACTTGGGAAAAGGGCGGTTACACTCCTTTTTAGCAAAGCTTGAACTCCTTACATGCATTTATTTGGGTACATCTGCATTGTAAAATATAGTGTAGTTAGAACTTAGCTTAAAAGACAAACCCCAAACCACTGATTTGGGAAATAATAATGGTGGAACTGGGGTAGACTGGGTATCTATAACCGTATTTATTATATTATCTCTACAAGTGTGAATATCAGAAGGAGTTGATGCTGTGACAACTACAGTGCTTAGGAACTCAGCATATTTTAAAGCTATCTAAGCTGTTTCCTGGACAGTATAGATGCGTTTTCCATTTTTTCTAGGGGGGACATATAGACCAAATATAACACTTTGTTTTGCTTTTGCAGGAAGCACATGATCATCTTGCCTTCATTATTGCAGTATGTGCTGCTCTTGTCCTATTTGCAGTCATGTACTTACTTTTATGTATTGAATCCCTATTTCGGAGATGGCTAACGTTGTTTGGAGTTACGATTTGGATTTGCTTCTTAATCGTAGGATATGTATCTCTTTTTGAAAAAGAAAATTATTATCAGCTGTGGGAACAGGTATGTATATCTTGTTCATTCAGGTACTTACATAGCACTGGTAGTATATATGAATGTGTGTGCTTTATTTTTTCTGAATGTTATAACTGCATAGTAGTTTTTTCTAGAGATTTAAGTTCGCTTTCCTAAATAGGTTTTATTGGTTTATTGTAATCAATTTTAGTTTGTGTTCTTCATTATAGTGAAAATATAGTTCAGCTGTGAAAAATTGGATAACTGCATAAATCTATGTGGGAATTGCATCTTGAAGTTGTAATTGCATTGTATTTTTATGTAAGATTTTTACTAAATTTTAGTTACTATGAAATAATCTTTGAGAGAATTTTTCATTAATAATACTTGCCTTGTTAATTTATATGGGTCAAAGTGGTGTTCAAGAAATGAATAAAGGACTCTTGAGCTGGGTGTGCCCCCAGGAGTATGTTTTCAAATCAGTGGGAGAGGTGAAGTGAACAATAAGAATTAATGACACATCCTGGCATAGCTGGGTGTGGCTGAAGTTCATTGCTTAGTGTCTCTGATCAGAAGATGGGCGATTTCATGATGCCAAAAATATAATCTATAGGAAACTCCTCCTAAGCTCTCATAATACAAACAGAAGAGTTTTTAATGAAATAAAAATGACCTTTTTTCTGGTTTTACTGTCTCCTCCTCTTCCCTTCTTTATTTCAAATAAAGACAGACACAAATTATCAGTTAGGCAACCAAAATCTGATTTGTATTATGGCCTGGATCCAGCACCGTGTATTCACAGTTGCTATTCAGTATCTTTTAACTTGAGGAAGAAGCTATTACCTTAGGAAGAATCAAAATTTGCTGGTTTTAACTAGAAGTACAAACCTAATGAAGCAAGATTTGGTTTTGCTGCTTTCAGTGCTGCAAGCCAATGTCTTGTGTTGTTGTCATGTGGTAATAATTCATTAATGTTGATTTATAGGCTAAAGTGTAAGGAGGGCCTAGCTTAGAAAGTAGAAGTGAATGGGTTCATTTCAGACATTTATCTCGAGTTACGAATTTATCACTAATTAACCTCCTATTTAAATGCAGGTATGACCTTTGCTTGTCCATGCTTATAAAACTATTACACAGCGTTCAGAATGTTGTGTGATAGGGCTTCTATGTATAGCAGAAGAAGACTTTTTTAGCCCAGCTGAAATAGTAGAGAGGAACATGAAAAGACTACTTTTGTTGAATGAAAACTTTTATTTGCTTTCTTGTTTGTTTGTTTGTTGTTGTCCCAGCCAAGCTATATATTCTGGCAAAATGTTTAAGTGCAGTCTGGGCCTTGAGACTTTCTTGAAGGGAGCTTATGTCTGGAATGGTGTGAGTTGAGTTGCAGTGATGAGATGAAGCTGAGCCAGGATCACTGCAATATTTTCCTCTGATCGGGGTTGCTAGTTTCCATGTATAGGAGCTAAACACTGTAACAAATCTATAAATATGGATTTAAGTTTTATAGACCTTCCTTCTGATCCCTAGCAGTCTAGTGGACCATTGTGCATTTTGTAAAATCTGTGCAGCTAAATATATAGTTAGTGGCAATAATGATTATTCTCTTGTGTCAGCACCAGCAAGTATTGGTTGGATTTTTGGGTTTTATCGAATATGAATTATACACACATGTGTGGTAAGGTGATGTTAAAATTAAAATAATAACTTGGAGAAGGTGAGAAATCTGATTCTATTCAATATTGCTATCCTTGCAACACACTGTTCCCGACACATGATGTACAAAGTGCATCTTCAGCTGTAATGGATAAATTAAGGATGATGGGCAAGGACAACTGAAAAAATTAAAGGTGGTATGTCATGTTAAATTGTCTTATCTATGAACCTATAGCTGCTAATTTCCCCAAAGCTTTTAGGACTACCACTGTCCTTATGTTGTGCATTTGAAATGTCAATATTTAATTATTCAGCCTAAAAATGAGCAAGAATTCTGCTACTTTCTGTCTTGTTCTGTAGTGATTTTTGGCAGGTACCTGATAACATGTATGTGTGATTCTTCCCCCCCCTTTCTTTTCAAAGGTGCCGTTCTTTCTATTCATAATCTTCACAGTTTATACCATGCTACCCTTTGGGATGAGAGGCGCTGTCATAATTAGCGTTCTTTCTGCTCTGTCCCATATTATTGTTCTAAGCATTGTGGTAAGCATGACTTCTCAGGAAAATAAGGAATCCATTCTGTTGCAGGTAAGGAGATACTACTTGGTTAAGTAGTTAAATATCCTAGTTGTATGACTATTTGATATTGGCATAACTATCCTGTCTAGATAACAATCTTCCACATGTATGTACCAAATTCATGGATTTGGAGCTTGGGATCAATGAAAGTGCAGTTCTTTTCATCTATAATGCATTTTGGTTTTCTGACCTAAGCGGAAGAAGCAGCATTATTACTTTATTTTTTTGACTGTTACTCGAAGTGTGACAGACATTGTCACAATCGTTCTTCCCAATCTGTGCTGTTTCAGATGGGTCCTATCTAACTTCATCTGGCACTGCCTACAGGGTGGATCAAAAGGGCCATTGCTGCCCTAGGGAGTCAGCAGGGCCTGGGTGCTTTCAGGGTTCCCAACACTTATTAATAGGGTGTGTTCAAAGGAGCACCCAGCTCTTTTGGTGCAGCTGTGTGTCAGACTTCATGCAGCACGCTGATGCATGAGTTTGTAGACTGGTTTCTCCCAAAATCAAAGACCGGTGCCTGCAAGTAAATGTTAAATGACATAGCAGAATTTTCTGTTTCATTATACTCTTGTATGTTCATACGGGAATGCCTGTGACTGTGAAAGTTAGATTATATTTCCCAGGCGCATCCTGGCTAATTGAAACACTGTGATATGGTGTGTGACAGGGTAAAGAGAAAAACGGAACGTGGCCTGGGATTGATTGTTTTTATGGGACTGGTATGTGCATTGGTGAAGTATCAATGACTGTTCCGCAGTAGGTAAATATTTTTCTTCTTGTGCAGCTACTTGCCAACGCTGTCATTTTTCTTTGTGGTAACTTGATGGGTGCATTTCACAAACGCCAAATGCAGGTTGCTTCGTGGGATTTGTATAGATACACATTAAAGTGCATTCAGGTCCGAATGAAATTGAAGATTGAAAAGAGGCAACAAGTGAGTAATTCATATTATGAATTGCTTGTTTTCATTTCTAAAGTCTGTATAATTTTATAAGGTGGGTGACTAATGCATGTTGAAAGGCTTGGTCCAATCTTTGTGATACCCATCTAGTGTCAAAAATATAAGCTGTGCCATTTGTAACAAAAGAAGGAAGTGAAAGGGAAGAAGCTGTTCTCTGTGGCTTGTCTATCTGAGAATCGTGGTATTTGTAACAGGAATGTAATTGACAGTTATTTTAGTTACTTTTTTCATAGTATAAGATGTTACTGGGACTGGTCCAAGGTGAATTAAAAGAGCGTGCCCTTATAGCCCTTAAAAATATTTGTAAGATAATTTCAACAGTTCCATGCTTCCCTTGGTCACATTTTTTACATTCCAAAGTAGTTTTTGTTCTTGTATTTTCTTGTCTCGCAAACTATTTTTCTTTTGCTAGAAGGAGAAAATTGGAGCCTAAGGGAGGAAAAAATCATATAATAGATTACAGTATTCGAGTATGACATTGTTTATGTCCATTAACTCCAGTGGTATTTAAAGAATAAGCAAGGAACATGAATTTCTTACTCACGAAGGATTGTAAAGAAGTATCAAAGCTGAAACTGGGGTGCCTCTGCTCTTTTATCCTGGTATTAGTAGGGTTAAGAACAGCAGCTCTAGAAGACTGATGTGTACCAAGTTCTCTGCCCACCAGTTATTAGATAAAATGAAGGGTCTGAAAAGTGACTGACTTGATCGAATTGAAAAGAAGAAAATGCCACACTGCTAGTGCTGTCTGTCCTCTGATGCTAATCTTGTGAGATAAGATGACAAATCTGCATGAGAGTCCTGGCAGAATTTCCCCACGCAGCACCCAGGGAAGCATCTAATCAGTTTACACAGGCAGCGTGCTCTTATTCTTTGGGCAATGCGGTAACTTGCATGGGTGGTTTTTTCTTTTTTATGGTTGCTTGTTTGAAGTGTAGATGTGCTTAAGTCCATGGAGAGCTTTCTTTTCATCTGTGTTGTAGTCTGTCACACAATTTTGAGTCTCCTTTTTTCCACACACTTTATGAAAATGATGTGAGAAATGTAGTTCAGGGTTCACCACCACTTTCTTGAAAGCTGTGTAGTGTGTCAGCCTCAAATGGCCCTGTTGCATTCACTGGGGCTCTGCTGCCAGTTTAAATTGTTCCCCAAGGTTGACTCTCCTAGTATTAAAACGCTGGAGGAGGGGAAGGAGGTGTTTCTGTTTCTGGGGGCAGTCTCAAACTAAACTGCTGTCTATACCTAGTGTAGGCCAGTACTTGATGCTCAAGGATGTGCTCTTCCCACTGTGATCCCAAGGCATTTCTTTTTGGTGGCAGGCGCTGGTGAAGTCACCCTGTATAGTGCTGCATCGGGTGTTCAGGAAATGGGGACAAAGATTTGGTCCAAAGGGACAGCATTTTACTCAGTTACACAATGTGTTGACCTTGCTGGCGATGTCATCTGAAATTAGCTTCTCCACACAACGTTTCCTCTTCTGTGTTGACTCTGTCTCTGGGGCAGTAGAGCCCTTCCTGGGTTAAAAGTACTCTTTTTTTGTCTTCCTCTTCTTCTGAGCAATTTAGCAGGGTCTTCTCTGACGAACGGTTTTTTAAGTCAAAGCCAGTGTAAAACAGTTTACTGAATAGTCAAGCAATGCAAGTGATTTTCTGAAGAGTCTGTGTTCTCGGTCAGTTCAAAAGACTTTCTTTCAGTGGCATCAGTTCCTCATTCATTTAAGCTACAGCAGCATGTTGTCGACACTTGTGTGTCTGTTGCGACTTTTCCAGTACTTGAGAATTCGCAAGGGTTTTTAATACTGCATAGATTGTTCATTATAGAATGTAAGCTTTTACCAGAAGCTTTATCAGATGTGCTAACATAACACAGAGATTGGTAGAAAAAATAAGTTTTCATTTGTCCAGAAATTGTAGTACTGAATCCTGATGTTTTGTATGTTTCATGGTTACAGAGGGATGTCACATCTAGGTCAGAAGGAACAAAAGAAAAAATATGCAACACCCTTACTTAACTGTAAAACTGGCAACTTTGAGAACAGAAATGTAGGACTCTCTTCTGGAAAATCTGACATGCATTACTCTGAAGCTATTTGAATACTGGTGTATTATTTTTTAAATTCCTTCTTGTCGTCACTAAAATCCTGCAGTTTCAAATTTACTGTGTTAAGATTTTTGCATCATTCATTTTTTTGCCTATCCTTTTAGGAAAATTTGCTTTTATCCATACTGCCAGCTCATATCTCTATGGAGATGAAGCTAGCCATCATAGAGCGACTAAAGGAAACTAATGATAACAGGCAAATGCATGACAATAATTTCCATAGTCTATATGTAAAAAGGCACCAAAACGTTAGGTAAGTGGAAACTCTGGAAGTAATTGTATTGATATAAGCTGCTGATTCTTATCAGTGTATATGGTCCAGTGGAACTAAAATTTGAAGGTGGATTTTCAGGCTGAAGTGAGCTGCTTTCCTGCTGTGGCAAGACAACATGCCTGAACTGATGTGCTGTCTTCTAAATCAGTTGCAATACTTGAACCCTTTTTTGTGGAGTTGTTTTCCGAAGAGAGAGGTGCTTTCTGTTAAATGCATTTTAATATTTGAGCTGACTGTGGAATAGACATATCTTCATATTTCAATTATGTTTTTTTTTGCTTTTGTTCTTGTCTAGTATTCTTTATGCAGACATTGTAGGATTTACTCGCCTTGCAAGTGACTGCTCTCCTAAGGAACTAGTAGTGATGCTGAATGAACTTTTTGGAAAGTTTGATCAGATTGCAAAGGTAGGTGTTACAGTTTGTTGTGCAGCAGAGATAAAGGCCACCATTGGAAAAACAAGAATTCTTTTCCACAGCACAGAAGGCAGTTGGTGTTAGTGCTTCTGAAGTCAGGAAGGGAAGACTGCTTTGGCTTTAAAGCTAACTAGCAAAATCACATTAAATCAAAATTTAAAACGAAAATAGGAAAATTTAGCAAGTGGTTGCTGTAGTTCCGGTTCTTGAGTCTGGAGGTTTATCTGTATTTTTCAGGGAATTGTCTGATGGCAATAAATGATTGTAATAGGGCTGTAAGAGGTACTGTATACAAGCACTATTGAGGAGCTTTGCTGTGTTCAGTTAGAATTGTTTGTTGGCTCTACAAATGGAGAACTCTTAGGCACACATTTAAATTCAAAAATTCAGTCACATTGCATCAGTTCAAGGAGCTCTTTAGCTCAGGAGTAATAATTAGTAATCAATACTTACAGAAAAGTGTAAGAACGGGAAGCAGATCAAAATGGTCCCTGTTAAGACATACCCTCACTACAGACCCTTCAGGCTGGCAGTAGTTCTTACCACTTCCAAGTGCTGCTTGAGGTTAATTTCTTTGCAGCTGTAATCGCCAACTGAGTTTCTGAGCTCTCAGATTCCGGGGACTGTGTCATGTACATGTTTGCATGATTGACTCTGTGTGATGATTTCTGTTAACTGTAAAACTGACCCTAATCTTGGATATATGTTCTGTCATATCCATTGATTTTTTTCTGTTAATATTACGAGGCAAATATGGTTTTAGGAAAATAAATGCTGCATTTTGTGTGCATCCTATGTGACATCAAAAAAACCCAAATACTCACCCAAATTCTGTTTCTAGAATTCAGCATTGGTAAAGCATAAGTCAAGACTAGTGACTACCTATCAAAAATTCCCATGGTTTAAAGATGTTGACTTGATTTCAGAATTGAGTATATTTGGATATGCTGAATGCAAATTAGCAAATTAATAGACTTGGAAAATCTTGTTTTTGTGAAATTCTAAAAATTCTTCAGAAAAAGTGGGGAACTGGGAAACTAAAATTATTAATGTAGCAGAGGAGTGGAACTGCTTTAATTAAACTTTTGTGAATGTCATTGAATAAATTCTAAAATATATCACTGATGAAAACCTAGCTAAAATCCCAGGGAACCTTTTTGACTAAATGACATTGCTAATCTTTATATGAATTCAGTTGCTCTTAAAACTTCAAGTACTGGAAAATAAGAGAGTCATACTAACTGTATTGTATTGATGCGAAGCAGCTATTAAGAATATACAGAATAAGTCACATCACCTTATTTTCCACAGCTTTTTATGCCACAGTAGAAGCTGAGGTTAAAGATATTTGGTTATTTTTTGCAACTGTTCCTCAGATACAAAAATAGAAAAAAATCCATATTTTGAGTGATATGTTTTAATTTCTCACTCCTGTCTGCAAATTGAACTGTTTAAAATATGTCTGGATTTAGTGAGTCAAGGTCTTTTGCAACTCTGTGGTTGGGCTGTGAGAAGAGATTACTGCTTTTTTGTGCTATTTTTGCGAACGAGTAGTCTCAGTCATCTATTCCATCATGTAAAAATGTTGTAGGCTCCAATTTACCTAATAAAAGTCGATGGCTAATCTGGACACTGAGCTGGACACTGAAGTCTTAACAGCTCTAATCTAGGGCCAGGTTCCCCTGTTGATCTCTGAAACTGAAGCACAGGCCTGTAAGCTTGTTGCTTGCTGCAATGCTCAGAACCTGCTCAAATGGCTTAAGATTGTGCAGAATGATGGATGTTCTCTTAAGTTTTTCATTGATGAGGGAGAAGATCTTAGTTTGGTAACTTGTCACTGATTTGGGCTGGTTGTAAATTAGGGTATTCAGGAGTTGATTGAAGAATTGCTGGGCTGTTCCCAGAGCAGGGAGAGCTGGCAGCTCAAGGTGTCAGCTGGCCCAAATTAAGCCATCTCTACTCATCAGTCAAACATTATACTGCCTTGCAGAATTAGCCCTGGCTTGCTTGCAACCTTTGTAGTTAAAATTCTTGAGTAATATTTTAACAAAAGAGAGTATGAGGAGCTCTCTGCTCTTCCCCTTCCCTCTCTCCTCAGCCATTAGTGGGCAGCAGTATTGTCTGTTGCACAGCTAGGAAAAAGTTTTCTGCTGCCGGATAGTATTGTGGGGTTTTTTTATTAGCAATAGCAAACTGTAGTGTATGCTGGCTTCCTCTTCAGTTGTATTTGAAACAACAAAAAAAAATTTGCTTCTGAAAAGCTGCCAGGTTGGGCATCTTAATTCCTAACTTCTCACCAAATTCTGTGCAGGTTTTGTGACACTGCACAATGTTACTTATGAGGCTGCCATGTCAAAATTGAGGAAAAGATGAAGAAACTGCCTGTAATACAAGTGTTAATAAAGACGAAGATTAAAAGATAGATAAGCAGTTTTCATCTTTTAGATGGTAAATTCTGTGACAGTTTTATTTTTATTTATAGTTTCTCAACTGCAAACACTTCCAAGAAGAAAGTCAGAAACTAGTAAGATGATTTTATTTCAGAAATGCTTGAAGTGGCCATTTCTGTTACCCTCAAGTGAGCAACGTCCAGGCATTTGGATGTGGGAAGGGAAAAGTAAGCCTTGTTTCAACAAGGATTGAATGAAGCCTGACTTTCTCAAAATGATATAGACAAGTCCTAGTTTTCGTGTCATTAACCTACTGGCAGTTCATTTTTTCCTGTTAAATATGTTTGCCGTAATTTCACAGGAGAACGAATGCATGAGAATAAAAATCCTGGGAGACTGTTACTACTGTGTCTCAGGCCTACCTGTGTCCTTACCGGTTCATGCCAGGAACTGTGTTAAAATGGGACTTGACATGTGTGAAGCAATAAAGTAAGTATAGCACAGAAGACTTTTTAATGTGTCAAGGCTATAAAGATATTGAAGAAAGTAATTCTTAGTTTTCTTGTCAGCATTCAAAGTGTATTTATTAGGTGTAGATGGATGGTTATGCATTAGGTCATAAGTTTGTCTCTTGTCTTTGCACTGTGTATAATGAGACTGAACGGATCTCCAGGGGGAGGAGAAAAAAAAATCAGAAGTGTAACTTACGGTGTAATACCCTCCTCCCTCCATAGGCAGGTGAGAGAAGCCACGGGAGTGGACATCAACATGAGGGTTGGTATTCATTCTGGGAACGTGCTGTGTGGTGTGATCGGCCTCCGGAAGTGGCAGTATGACGTCTGGTCCCACGACGTGTCCTTAGCCAACCGCATGGAGTCCGCGGGCGTACCTGGGTGAGGACCTTCCCTGTCGGTGCTGATTCGCTCTGTCATCGTGGTTTTAATAATCTTGGTTTATGAGTCTGGAATTTGTAACTGTGCCGTGACACAAATCCTCATACTGGGATGATGGAAGTACGACAAATGTGTACTTACCAGAGCTGTAAAATGTTAATATCTTCTGATTCTCTTTTCACTTAACTATAAAATTCTATTCTTAGGCAACTGACTGCTTCTTGACCTTCCCTTCACTGGAGAAACTTGTGCGTCTTCAGCAGTGCATTATGTTGACTTAGTTTATTCGTATTGTGCACAGAGATAATACTACTTTTGTAAGTTTAGCTAAAGAATAGATATCCTTATGTTGACAAGGCAAAGCTGCATATTTACCTGCTGTTTCTGTTAATATATCGATCAGTCCCACTTGATTTGTATTAACTCTACATTCACCACCACCACCTCCCATGAAAACACAACTCAGAAATTAAAATGCAGCCTGATGAGGAGCATCCAAGCAAGGAGAGTTTGGAGCTGTTGGTTGTCTCATATTCTCTCTGCGTAGCATTTGTCATGGGCAGAATGGGAAGGAAAGTGAGTAGTCCTGAGTGGAGGAGCTGAAGCAAACCAGTAATGTAAATTGCCATGTGCTGCTCAGCAGAGCAGAGGATTGGGTCTGAGGTTGGTGTTCATGCTGCCTTTTTGAAGACACTTATTGAAAAGGACAAATATAAATATCTTTAAAAAACACTAGCGATTTGTATTTTTCTTATTCAGGAATGTATACTTTTTTTGTAGTTTGCGCCAAAAAAAGGACCATATTAAGAGTTTCCATTTTTTCATTCCCAAATGAGACCATGATTTTGTAGGTTCTTGGTAGTCTGTGCAAATTAGTACTTATTAATTGGATGGTGTTCATGTGGGTATATGCTTAAACATTAAAGTATTGGTTTCATTTGGAAAGTAATTCTAATCAGTGACATTATAGGCTTTCTTATTATTGTGCCTCAGACAGCTTTTAGGTATATGCTTGTAACTTAAAAATTAAGGGGGATATAAATATCAAATTACTTTCTTGCACTGGTGACCGAAACAGAAAGAAAACGGAATTGGAGCTTGGTTAACAGTTGAGTGTTTTAGTGTGCTGACACAGCATGATTAAACAAGAATTCAGAGTTGTAAAGTTTCTTTTGTTGATAAATCAAACAACAAGACTCTGAATATGGCACGAAAACATGCTTTTCTTAGTTACATTTAGGACTATTGCCTAATTTCGAAAACTTTTATTCCATTACGTTCTTCGTGCTTATGTTTGATAATCTGTAAAGCATAAAGCTGGTTTAAGTTGGCTTGCTGATTCTGAGACATTGGACTAGATGACCCACAGAGGTCCCTTCCAACCCGTACCATTCTGTGATTCTGTGATTCTGTAATACTTCCTACATCTATATGTGTCCAGTACTCATCACGTGTTTCAAAACTAGCCAGAGGAAACCTTCCATTTGTGGAAGACTGAGCCTTACAAGGAGGACGGGTTTCTATTTGTTATGCAAATGTTATGTTTTAGTTGTTTCCCGCTCTCTGAAAAAATTATGTGTCTGGGATTCCCCGTTCCAATGTTAAATAGCCCTGCTCCTTTGGCAGCAGAAGTTTTGTCATTGGAAGCAGTTTGAGTTTTTTATTTAAAATAGGAAGTATGGATGTTCTGGGTTTCTGTAAATGAAGGAATTGTAAACACTTTTGAAAGGATGCAGGAAAACTTCTGGCTTTATAAATATTTTATTTCCATTGACAGAGTGTCCTTGTTCATCTTCTTTCTGATTTTAAGAATTATTTGCATTCATAACAATGTAATACACTTGTAAAGAGAGAGAAAGGATGAACGTGAAACCAAAATTAAAAATGCATTTATGACCAATTATCTCTAAAATGTATATTCCTGAAATATTAGAATATGTTATTCTCAGGCCTGTTAGCATAGAAAATTGAGTGCAGTATGTTTGGTATTCTGTACTAGCATGGTAAATGCAATAGTGCATGTTACAGCTTGCCTTTGAGAGGCAGCTTTATCAGTAGCAGCTTTTGGTTATGTGCTGATCCTGGAATCCAGTAAGCATTAGTAACTGCTGAGAAATCATTGGCGTAGTAACTTAAATGGAAAGAAATTTGCAGTGAGATCTGAAATGTACGACAGCCATGTGTGATTTGGGGAAGAGGGGAGAGGAAGATTGGTAAAATGGAAAATGGTTGATAGTGAACAAATGTACTGCCTTTTGAGAGAAGTGAAAAAACACAGAAAACCTGCTGTTAATACAGACATCATCCAGTATGACTCAGCCTCTATGGGAGAAAATGATACTTTAGAGCAAGCTTTGAAATTTCAGATTTGAAGGTTCACCTCGATTGCAAAACTGCATAATCAAGGTAACAAATAATAATACAGGTTTTTGAGACAATTACCAGTAAACAAATAAAAACATGCATCGTCTGTATTTGAAAACTCTTACCTTTTGGCTCCAAAAGTATTGAGGAAATTTTTGTTCTTCCTTGTGGGAAGCCACAGCCAGTGGTCTGTAGGTCTTGGCTAAATTATCTTGAGGCAAACCTACATGCAGCATAAGGAGGCAGAGGCAGATGGGACAGTGATCCCCTTGCTCTCTTTAGGCAGGCAGGAGTGCTGCACACTGTCAGCTTCCATTCTGGAAATGTTCTATTCACAGCTCTGTCCGGAGGGATTGTAGGACCGACAGCACAGTGTTTAACCCCTCCACGCCAAAGAGAAGTGGGAAAAGCTGTGGGAAGATGAACAAGTAGAAGATAAGAAAAGAAATACTATTTTATGAACACACTGAAGTCTCTTGTTGAGAAATTCTATGGAAAGATATTACTTGTAATTTATATGGGAATAAGTGATTCGGCATACTGAACTAAAGAATGTTTAAGGGAACGTGTCAATGCGTACAGGAAAATACTAGCTGCTCCCCTGAGAAGTGTGTTGCTGTTGTGGCTGTGTTATACTCTCCTCTGTTTCAGTCAGAAAAGACAGACGTTCAGAATTTTCCTCCTAATTGACAAAAACCCTTTTCTAGCTTTTTTTCCAGACTTTGTAACCATCTCCTCCACTCCTCATGCATTTCTAGCATGAGACAGTCCTTGTGTTTTGTTTGTGAGCTTTCCTTGTAGCTCTTGCCATCTCAAACAACCTGCCTCTGAGTCTGTCTTGTCAGTCATCAGATCTCCTTTGATCACATTTCTTCTTCTTTCTTATATGTCTCTGTTTATTTCAATTCAATTTTATACTGATACTATCTCATTTTGGGAAGTGTTTTTTAGCATACTTGCTACAAGATGTGCAATGAAGAACTGCAGTAGAGGATTGCAAATATGGTTTTAACTGCTGGCAGGATTTTGCAGTTGGCTGCCAAAGCACAAGATAGCTGAAAAGCAGGGGCCATTGAAATGTAAATGAAATGCTTAATGTGACCTTTCTGTAAGTGTTTGGGTCTCTTGTTCTTTCTCCCCTTCTCAGCCGTGTACACATCACTGAAGCAACATTAAATCACCTAGGCAAAGCTTATGAAGTAGAAGAAGGGAATGGACACCTGAGGGATCCTTACCTTGAATCCATGAATATCAAAACCTACTTAGTGGTTGATCCAAGGGTATGTGTATGTTTTTAAATATGTATATTTATTCAGATATATATATGCACATATACATTTAAAGTACACAGGCGTCTGTGGTGCATACACCTTTTTAATTCAGGAACAGAATTAAAGCATGGTATGAGTCATCTGAGTATCCTGGATTTGGGACTTCAGATCTGAAAGTATGTCCTACTGTTTTATGAAATGACTGTTAGCTTGAAGGTAGTAAGTGGTATGCTGAAACCTCTTACATTGTCCACACAGAATAAAAATACGTATTTGACTGTATTTGTGTGAAGTGTGTCTCTCAAATCCAGGTCAAAAGGTGGGATGAAGTAATGAAAGAATACCTGTATTGTGTGGCCACTTTCAGATAAAATATTCCCTGTAAAATAACTTCTGACATCATCTTCCTCACAGTCTCAGATGTGAGATTCCCCTTCTTTTCAAGGTGTAAAGTTAGCAGCTGTTGGTCACCCCTTTACAGCCTGTTAACTACAAACACCTGGAGTATTGCTATTTTGAATTGGCTAGTAGTTGAGAATGAAAATTACAAACTTCTTTCCTTCAAGATCTTTGCAAGGAAGGAGCAGTATAGAGACAATTAGCAAGAACTCAATTTTATCTTTGTTGCATGTTTTATGTACTCAACACTACAACTTAGGATCTAAGTCTATTAAAATGGTCCCTGCTTACTTGAAGATATCTGTGAAAAGTTAGAGAAAAACCAGTCATTGACGTATGAGTTATTCTGTGATTGTAGCTTCCTTTTAGACCAACAAGGGTATTGCTGTATACCCTGTGTATACTGCCTGACGCTTCTTCACCTGTGGTATAGGGATATAATCTTATGTTGAGTCTGTAATTTGTGGGATTAACTCCCAACCACTGTTTTGATACACCCTTCCTCAGGAACTGGGAATCTTTTTCCCCTGCTGTTGTGCTGACTGCAGGGAAATTGTATCTATTCGTAAGATCCTGCGATCTCTCACATCAGCTTATATAGATAGGAAGCTTAAATGTTGCAGTGTTACAAGCAAAAACTTGTAAAGGCAGCTGAAGCAAATTCATTATGTTATGATTTGCTTTAGCTCACATTAATTAAATGAGATAAGGAATCAAGGTTGGCTGACGCATTGCTGATGTGTTTAGAGTCCTACTAAATAGCTAGGTTGTATAGTCCTAAACTACTCAAGTACACAGAGCTTCATTTCTTTGTAATTTGTATGACTTTCTGTGTTCTAAATCAGTGTGTTTTTTCTGTTAGTCCAAACAATCCATATCAAATAATCATCTCCCTAAAACGAGAGTTAATGATGGGCTGAAGATGCGAGCATCTGTTCGGATGACACGTTATTTAGAGTCCTGGGGAGCAGCCAGGCCCTTTGCCCACCTGAACCACAGAGAAAGTGTGAGCAGTGACTCTTCAAGTTCACAAGGAAGGCGAAGAAGGGTGAGGTTTGAAGTAGTGATTGTCATCCTACAATTACAAACTGCTACTCGTGTCCATGGTGTGAAACCTGAAATGTGACGTGTTTTTCGTGGCCAAATTTCTGCTATTACTCTTCGTGTTAAATGTGTACAGAGAACTAAGAAGCTATCTGGGCAACAGCTATTTCTGTCAGAACTTCGTGGTATTCAAACTCTGCCTGCCAATCTCTAGTATGCTATACTCATAGTAAACCTTAAAAGTAAAATTTTGAAACTATCTTATTTTCCCTGACATATTTCCATCTTTGAGTCCTGCTTGCTACATGTGGTTTTGGAAAAAAGACAATTTATCCCAGCCTCCAGATGCACTGAACATTTACTTAAATGTATGGAAAATAATCAGTCCCTCCACATGCTCCGCCTGCAACAGGTTTTATCAGTGAAGAACTTCTAAGATTAAGAATTCTTAAGATTTTTAAGATTTTAAAATTTAAGAAAATTCTTTTTTCCTTCACTCTGCCCTTCCTGAAAGCTGAAAGGAGGAGATGTGCATGCTTTTAGGTGTGCTCCTGGAGGCACAGCGAGGCTGTTACTACTCTCTGTGAACAGATAGCTATAGTAAATGTTAAATGAAGTATCCATCCATTCAGGTTTGTGGAAGTGGTTTCCAGTCTACTTGTCTCTGCTGATGTTAGTTATTTCCATGTGTGGAGAAAAATAAGAGGGAAGATCATTCAGTTGCTTTCTAAGAATTTTTTTTTGGTCAGAAAATGCTCACTTTTTAAAGCAGAAAACATTGCTGGAAAGGGTTGATTTTGATAAACTTTTCTGTTTGAGAATGATTTTTTTGAATAAACATGGTTTTGGCAGCTTCCTGAAACTTACTTTCAGTAGTTGTTTGCTATTTTCTGAGTATGTAACTTATTTTTAATTCCTCATTTGATTTAGGAAATACCTTTGTGTTCCACTGGACACCAGAGAACTTCCGATAGGTTTGTCAAGTACTTTCTTTTTTTTAAAATATGTGATCCTGTGCTCATCTTGCAGTTCAGTGTACTGCAAGCATGTGATCATCTGGTTGATTAATCACTGTGTGTATGGTATTCCTGCATTAGAGAGGTTAAGCTAAATCTTTGGCCTTTAAAAGGCTTCTCAGTTCACATTCGTTACTGTTAGCAGACCTAAAGGGCTCTCCCTCTCCACCCCCCTTCATCTTACTTGGCCCCTCAGTCATTCAGGTTGCATTTTGTTTTATGGGCTGTAGCAGGATGGAAGGGAGTAGGGAAGAGCAGTGGAAAACAAACCAAAACACATCATATATTATATATATTGTAACCGCTTGTGCTACCTCAGCTTACAGTTCTCTTACTCATAGATGCTAGATTTGTTTGTAAGTATTATAGTACAAAATAAATACAGTGTAACATATAAGTAAATATATATTATATTTTGCAAGATACATCTTTGGTTAGTAGTAATAGTGTGTGCCATTGTAGTGTAATAAAAATTTGGCACTATATGTAGAAATGCTTACAACGGTACCTGTACCACTGAGTTAACAAAGTAGATGATTTTCACTTGTGAAACATTCTCTTAGTTTATCAAAATATTGTCTTGAAAAATGCATGATTTGAGTAATGAGAGAAGTGCTTAGTAAAGTGCTTATGGATGTATATGTTTATCAGTATGGAGCATTCATATTTGACTTTTTGATGGTAGCTTGGCCCGCTTGTGTACTGAGAAAGTATGGTACTCTTTAGCCATTAATTGTTTCTGAATAGCATTTGTGACATGGACTTCATTTCGTTCTCAGAAATTCATCGCAGAAGGGAAGGATAGAGGAAGATATTTATGATGAAATGATGTCAACCATTGAGGGCCTCAGTTCAACTAAGTATGCAGTATCTTATTTTTTTCTTCATCTTTTCTTCGAGAAGAATCTGCATTCTCAATTTTACGTCCAGATATAAAATTTGCTTCTCAAAGATGGAAAGTTACCAGGATTTTTGTTGTGCCTTTTTTTGGTCTTTGTTTATTTGTTTTTTACTTACTGGAATTGCTTTTGGGTTTTAATTTGAATATAATGAGAGTATTACTGCACTATTACAGCAAGAAGCCAATGGTTAGTCTAGCTGTTCAATGTGGTATAGTACTATGAAATAGCAAAATTACTGTTTTGTTTCTTACAACTGTCCAAAGTAATGAGCCGAACTGCAGTGTAGGATGGGATAGGAAGTTAATGTTTGTGTTCTGTTTATTAAAATAAGAAGGAAATGGGGTGCAGTCCTGAACAAAACTTTTTGTATAAAGTCAAAACACAGTTTGGGGGGTAATAATAAAATTGCTTTAATGTCTGGTTCACTGAAAATAAATGGTATTATTGAGCAGAAGTTTAGGAAGCTTAGGAGGCTGTGAGCCATCTCTTGGTATCTGTAAACCTGGGGGAAGGTCTGGGATTACATTTTGCACGTAACTGGCAGACGCTGCTGTCTGTGAGTGCGTTCTGGGTCTGCCTATTGGCTACATAAAGACATAACCGCTCATACACTATGAAACATAATGGCCTTGCAGAACTGTCAAGTGTGTGTGAAACAGTGGCACTCTCACCCTGTACGCTGTGGAGTCGCAACTACAGCCGTGCTTTTGCATACTCTCCTTGGCCTGTTGTGTACATTTTGTAATGTGTGTCTCTCTGAATGCAGTCCATGGTGTAGCAAATCGGATGACTTCTGTGGATTTTCATTGATTTTTGCAGAACCCAGTCTTGAAAAAGAGGTTGGTAAGAGCAAAATAATCCTTTTTTGGTCTTTTATTTGCACTTCAGAGCAGCATAATATATTTGAAACTGTTCTCATTCTGAAACTAGATTCTGGAGGTGACTGCACATCCAAAGAGGTTTTTGGTAACTAATGGAAAGCAAATTTCATGATTTGATTGAGTTGGTCATTCTTCCTTGAAGCATACTAATTCTGTAGATTAAAGGCGATTGTCTCTAATCTGTGGTTAAATTCTTGCTGTAAGGGAGTTAGTAGGAGTTTGGCAACTTTACTATATGAAGAACTTCTCTCATTTAAAAAAAAAAAAGAAAAAAGTTATTTCTGCATCCATAATGAAAATACTTTGCTTTCTGTGGTTATTTTATTGCAATTATAATACTGTTATTTCTTTGTTACAGTGTCCTTTTTCTGTCTGAAGAACTGTTCTTTAATTTACTGTGCTGTGGTGTGCTGTATGTAGTTACTGATGTGCGTGTGTATATATACTCTTCAGGTTTACTTCTGTCTATATCCTTTTCTTGTAAGGATTTTGACTGCATGCATCTGAAGTGCTGATCTACATTCATGGTGGATTTCCCTCTAGGTTTGAAATTGTCCTTTGGACTGGGCTGTTTTTCTTGACAGATACTCAAGTGATTTTTATTTGGTGGTTTTCTTCTGTTCTCTTTTAGTTCTATGTATATTTTTAAGAGTGCAGTATAGATTTGCATATATGTGTTATTACAAAAGTGTAATAGAATTTTTAAACCCCCTGGAATGATCCTTAAGATTTGTTACAATCTGTGTTTCAGTATCGCACCATCCCTATTCTAAAACTGAAGAGTTACTTCGCATGTGCCAGTTTTGTGTTCCTCTGTATATTTCTGATACAGATGTTTATAATGCCAAAGTAAGTGTCAGTATTTTAATAATTTATAATTCAAATTAACCAGTAGCTAAAGTGAAACTCATGTGCGTGAAACTTTTTTAAGTCTCATGGAATTCCTGAGGGTTTGCGTTTAAGAAACATATACCTCTTAGGACTAATTGGGCGCATTGGGCAATAGAAAAATGGGATTAGCTGGTTAAAATGTATTCAGTAATCTTTCTGTAGAGATACAAGGAGGGAACTTTGAGCTTCTTCTCATACCTCCGAGAAAGCAGATGTTTGATAATTCTGAAGTTTATGGCATGTTTGTTTTTCGTGGCTGTTGCAGTGCAGTTTCCCTGTGGTTTATGCAGGGGGTAGTGGTTCAGGCTGTCAGTGAGAAGTAGAATATCTTAAAGTAGTATTTGTGCAACAGAGCAACAATAACCTGTGCAATGTTACGGTCATCCAATAGAAGGAAAATTCTGTTTAAGTTTAGCGAAACACTGTTAGCAAATGTTAGTCTGAATTGAGGTTTCAATTTCTTTTTTCATTTAACAGTGACTTGTTTGATGCTTTCTCTTCTGTTTAGAAATGCAAAACTTGGAATTTCCTTTGGCATTGTTGCAGGCATCATTCTACTTATTTTGTTTGTGTGCTTTGCTGAGAAATGTACGGTAAGTTTATTTAATAAAACTTCCTGTTTTCAAAAGTGGATGCGTGTAATTCAGCAACTTGGTCTATCTTTGAGGTTGATGAATTAAGCTGTTAATTTCAATAGTGAAAAGAAAAAGAAAATTTCAAGATTGCAATTGCATCAGACTTGAGCTTTACACTGGGAGCGTTTTGGTATAGCATCCTTCAATAATATGTGCAGTTGTTAAAGCTATAGGCTTTACTAGACATTTTTCTCTACAGCAACAAATGGAGGATACAAGGATGGCAAGGAAGGGGACTGTCTGTGATTGGTTTCGATTTAGTCATCTGGCAATGAAGTTCCAAATATAACATTATAGCTCTATAATTGAAGAATACAACATAGGTTGTTACTATATTTTAATAACATTTCTCTAGAATTTTCAGTCAGATCATAATTTTGTATTTTTAAAGCAGAAATTCAGAAAATTTTAGCACTCAGTGTCTCTGAAATAAGGAAGCATTATCTCTATTTTCAGTTGTAGGAAGGCATTTAATCTGAATGATTCAGAGTTCAGAGTTCTGAATCGGGATTCCAATGAAGACTCTTGACACTGTCCTGCAGAGAAAAAGTATTTTATATTTAGAAATATTTCTTCCCATGTATCAGTGTTATCCACGTTCCTGAAACAAAACTAATTTTCCTTACAGAAGTGCTGCTCAGAACAGTGGCCTTTTCTTCGCCATCTTTGTGCTATCTCTGAAAAGGTGGAAACAATGCCTTTACTTAGGCTTCCTTTGGCAGCCATCATTATAAGTGCCTTGCTGATTATAGCCATTTTTAATTTGGTAAGTAATCGCATTATCTTTATTCTGTGAACCTATTGTAATATCCACAGTCTAAGTAACTTCTATATTCTTTTCATCAAGTACCATGCTTTTTGCTACTTTCTAATGTCTGATTGGCAACGTGAGTTGATTTACACAAGGATAATGCACAATGTCATGTAAAATCACTAAAAGGAAAAACTCCCAGTTTGTAGAGCTGAAAGTACATGTGATAGACAGGAGTTCTAGTTTACACCATCTTTTCTTGCTTTCAGGATGGCATTTATAATTAGTATTGATTGTAACCATCATCACTAAGATGGTCTTGCTTTTTTTTTAATCTGGGTTTAAATGTTTTGCTGTAGTGTGTAGAAGTTTCAAGCAGTTTACTGTGCTGTTTGCACTAGCTAGTAATAATGCAGGTGGGGGAGGGAAGAATATAGCTTGGCTCTCTTTTAAAACCAAAGACATTGCGGGTAGTTACTGCTAGACTAAGATGTGAATGGCGTCTGTCTTTTAACTTTAGTTTGGGTATTGTATTGCACCTGGGGTACATACATTTAAAAATGAACCCCTTGGAGTAACCTGATGCTCAACAACACTCTGCTGTGGTTTTTTTAAACAAGCTTTATGTAACACATCATGTTGATAGTTAAACCTATCTGATAGCTAGCTACTAAAGGTGACGTCCTGATCGCATGTGCTCGGTCTGCTATTCTTCTGATTCCGTGGGGGGTTTATTCTGAAAGCTATACTGCAGAAAATGCTTAATTTTCTTTTGTAGATTTGTTTCTCTGCTGGTTTAGGTCCTTGAGTTGACTCACACTGGTGTCATGTGAACACTACCAGAGACAGTCTAAAAGAAAACAGGAGCAGCAGCCGTGAGACTGGGGGGTGAGACAGAGCCACGTGTTTGTGCCAGTTAGCTGTTACATTAGCATTGCCATAATGTGAAACTTTACCCCAAATTAAAAAATAAGTAAATCCTTGGCAGTTTTAATCTTCTTGCACCTTGTGTGTTCCTGTATATTTAAGAAAAGTGTAGGGGCGTCATTATATTTCAGCATTCATATTGCAGTAGCACTGAAAGGGCAACCAGATCAGGTCTCATTGTATAATATATGGAGAAAAAACTTAAAATTAGTGACTGTCTGCTAACAAATTTATATGGTGGTTATGGTGTGTTTTGTTGTTTTGGTTTTTTTTTAATAAATCAGACTACTGAAAAGAACAAACCTGCAAACTTTACTGGATCAAATGACCTGTGTGCTACCACCTATGTGAGTAGAGTACTCTCTTAATTTCTAAGATTGAAATGATATGGGTCTTGGATGAATGTGTGTGATATAAATGGATGGCAGCATTTTGGTATCTTTTAATCTCTTTATAAAGACAGAATTTTTAAATCATTGAACACAAAGATTTGCTCCTGCCACAAGGCAGTTCTAGGGATGTTTTCTATCATTAGCAATGGCTTTACTGTGCATCTTTTTAGGGATTTTCAAAAGTCTGGAGTACTCGTGGATAAAGCTGAAGTCTTGGCTTATTTTGGTTACTCAGCACCTTTGAAAGGTGTTCTCTAGCATTTCTATAAGAATAGATTCAGCACTTGCTAATGACATAAAAGGATAATTTCTGAGGGTTTAATTTTTTTATCTCTTTAATTCCAAAGTAGCATTTTGAGATCATCCAATTGTTTGGGATGCTCCTTTGTCACCTGGCTGCCCCTTTAGATGATGGAGATGTTTTTGAACAATGTGCAGCAGATTGTGTGAGGACCCTTTCGTTCAAGTCCTTATGACAAATGATAAGTTACCCATATATAATGCACATCGTACTTATCTGGTAATTTTCTGTTCTTGCATGGTTGTAAATCAGCCTTTTGGAAACACAACTCAATCCTGCGTTCAGGAAACCGTAAGTAGTGAATACATGTTACTTGAAAACACAGATCTTTGAATATTGTCTGTATAACGGACAAGCGGCAGGTTCTGTTGCTGTATAAAACACAGCTTTTTTTTAGATGTCTGACAGCAGAAAAGTTCTTCATGAAATCGAGATGCACAGCTGCCATTGCTGTGCTGAATAAAGTATGGCTTTGCAATTTTTTGAAATTTCAGACATTAAACTGGATCTGATACTTTGAGGTAAAAGCAGTAGAACGGGATGATGATGATGATGTTGGAATGTGAGAGATGAGAGCAGTACTTGCAAGTGTCCCAGTAAAGTATCTTGATAGAGTGAAAGGGCTTGAATGGCCAGCAGACCTGTGTCAGTGTTCTTTACGTAGTGGTTTCTTTTTCAGAGATTTGGCTTTAGGGTTGTAACTGTGGTGATCATTACCTTTTGGAGGTTAGACTCAATGCCTTCAGGATGACAGAGCTGGTGTAATGCATTACTATATGGGCTCTGATCCTGAGTTGCTCCATAAGTTGTTCTGGTTTCATTTGCTTCAGCAGAAATGTTAGGTGTTTAGCGAAGTATCTCCCACATCTCTGGTAAGTCTGTGCTATTGTGGGTGAAAAACTGAGAAATAAACTCTTGAGGAGCAGAAGCTGAGATAATTTTGGAGTTGTCTGCAGATAAAGTACGCTAGCTCAGCATCCTATACCTGTGCCTACGGCTGCAGGGAGCAATCCTGTCTGCGCAACACACTTTGTACCACCTGACAGTTTTAATGCTCCCAGCTGCGTGCTGACCTTGGACACCAGGCCTGAACTGCAATTCCTCTGGGAGATTTTTCAGTAATTCCATTGGATAATGGCCCTAGCTGGATAATCCTTATTAGCATCAAAGGTCCTATGGAGGAGCTGTGTGTAAGGTTGGAGAACAGGTCACGGTCTTCACGTTACAGGTAGGGGAGAGGGGAATGTGGTAACAGCTTAAGGTTACAAAGGGGGAGCACTGTCAAAAATAGGACCGGAATGCTGGGGTTGCTGGTTCATAACATATTCACTGCACTATGAACCTGCTTTAGGTTAGTCTTGAACTTTTAAATAAATAATTGCTTAAATTAATAGACTTCACAAGATAAATTCTCAGCACACTTCAGTTTTTATCTGACACTGCTTATGTTGGTGTGAAGTTTTTTGTTTAAGTCTTTTTGTTTGTCTAAGAAATTAAAAAAGTAAACTAAAAAAGTATTAAGTTCAGCCTTTTACTGCAATTAAAAATATATCTTTAAGTGAATTTAGCAAGTGATTGTAATTTCCTCTATTTAAATTACAATCATCATGAACTTAGAGCATTTGCTATGGTTTGGAAGCCTCTTAGGCATATAGCCTAAATAATGCTCCTTAAATTCTTTTTTTATAGTATTATGCTTACTGCTGCATATTGGGGTTCATCGCTTGCTCGGTATTTCTTCAAATGAGCTTCGAACTGAAAGTTCTCCTCCTGTCCATTGCTGTGACTGTCTACCTCATCATTTTTAACACCCTTCAGCAGAGGAACTTGAGCTTCCATGGCAACAGTACCAGGTGGAGTGTAAAGTTTCTTGTAATTGACAATAGTGTTTCATTAAAGGAGGTGTTAGATTTTTGTACACTTACATGATTTTGATATTTCAGTATTCCAGTAAGTCAGACATTAGAAACCTTTCTGTAAAGCTAAAGACATGGAAATCTTATAAGACCATATCACTTCTTTTTGTTTGTTTTTTTAACAAAAGTGTGTTTTCTGAAAAATTCTGTAATATAACTTCTGAGATCCCTGGAAGCTTAGCTTACCTTAAAGACTAGAGGGTAGAATATTAATCTCATAATAAGGTTGATCTTCTGTTAAAATATGAAGAAAAACCTTGCTAAAAGTCTGATGCTCAAGCTGTGCTTGCGAGACCTTGCAAGTCACTAGGATAGTGAACTCTTCATTTAGTTACCTCACTATCTGCATGTTTTGAAAAGTAACAGCAATTTACCTGATCTAATTGAAGAAACTATAAAAATACTTAAGAGAAATCACATGTGGAAGGGTTTTACTGTTCATTTGTAAGTCTGTTTCTCAGATTCTCAACATAGTCTTGTAGCTGACAATTAGGATAAATTTATTTTGCAGAGGCTAACTGTGAGCTGTCAGCACATCTTGAAGCCTAAATGAGCTCTTAATCTAGCCTCTTAATCTCAGGCTATTCATATAATGAAAATTTAGTTTGCATTTGTGAAAATTAATAGATGTGGTAAGACGGATTGATCTTACTGCGAAATACAAGTGGTGTCTCAGATTTGTATGGAACTATATACAGGTGTGATTTAATGGCTGTCTTTGTTTTAGCAATTCAGGTTTTTATTTGTTAGCATCTTTCCTTCCACGAGTAAGAAAGTTTCTTTTCCTACTTCAGGGTTTTCTTGGCTGTGTTTTTGTGGGGCAGTGGGAGGAGGAAAGCTGCAGCTCAGTGCTATGGAAATTAAGACGGCTCCATTAGATAAAGCCACATTTACTTGAATATCTCCCTACAATGGCAACTTAGCAAGGTTTCAGCACCCATCTTGTCATTACGTGAAAGGCAGTTCATCTACTGAACTGAGTCATAATCCTTTCTCGTTATTAGGATAGGGCATATAAACAGCCAGCCACTGGCACAAATGAACAGTGGCATTGGTGGTACATGTCTGAACAAAGACACCCTCTTCTGCTGTGCTCTTCTTCCCCTCCCCTTCCCTCTCTACCCCTTAATCGTGTGGATTTTCTTAAAGGATATAGATAACTTTGTATTGCTTTCTTGTTTTCAGGCTTTTCGTCAAAGAGCCAAGGATAATGACTAATTTATATCTGGTTCTGTTTTACATAACCCTAATTTTACTTGCAAAACAGGTATGTATTTAAAAAGCAATAGGTTAGTTCTTTCACCTGCAGCAAGTGGATTTAAATAAAATGCAAAAGTGTTCATTGAATTTCTGCCCTAAATTAGTATATGTTATATCTTTTTTTTATATTCTTGTACTTAGTTGTAGATAATGTACTTGTACTTAGTTGTAGATAATGTGGAAATTTTTACTGTGAAAGTGTGGGAATGTTTTCGTGTTTTTCAATAGTGTTTGCAGAAGTCAGACCTTTCAAATTCTTCCAGTTTGGATCTATCTGTATTTATATGTCAATATTTATCATAAATAAAGGCAGTAATTCAAGATAAAAATAATCATCATATTATTAAAATGTTATCTTGGTAAATACACCTGATGGCACCCAAATGGCATTCATTCATACTGACTGCTTCATATTTTTCTTACCTTCATTCTCAAAGCACCTTTCAAAAGGCCTTGAAGAAACTTCATCGCTACTACACTTTTTGAATAAATCATCTAATATTTTTCAGCGAGATACTATATGGATTTAATTTACCATATTTGGTTCCTTTGCAGATTGACTATTACTGTCGACTGGATTGTCTGTGGAAGAATAAGTTTAAAAAAGAACATGAACAGTTTGAAACGATGGAGAATGTTAACAGGCTTTTGCTGGAAAATGTACTTCCAGCACACGTTGCTGCCTATTTCATTGGTGAAAAACGGAATGAGGTATGTTTAATGTCTACGATGTGAAGGACAGGAAATTGGACTTCTGTGACATACAACATCATGCTAACAAGCACACAGAAGACTGTAAGGTTCTGCACTCTTTGCCTCTTGTTTGTATCCCAAGTTCTTTGTAAACCCAAGAATCTGCTGTCCAGATGGCCTCAAAAAAATGCAGACTTCTAGTGTCAGTCTCTGAAATCTGTTTTCCGAATTGGTAGTTCAGCTTCAGGACACAGTTTGAGTTTGACAAATATTTGAACAGGATATACTGCTTTCCAAAGACCATATTTTACCAGAGATGACAGGCCACCTTTTTAAAGAAGTTGGTTGAGGACCAGATAGTATCTCCTTGGTAACAACCCCAGTGAGAAGTTCATTGATACCGATTTATTTTTTTTAAGACATCCATCTTCTTCTGTCAGCATGTCATCAGAATAAATATTGCTGATTTCACAGCCATGCTAAGTGTCATAAGACTGGCGTTGTCCAGAATAGATGAGAATCTGTAAGATACATAGATATCTCAGCTGTTCCTTAGGCAAATCAACGTTGTCTATGTTTCTGATAAAATTAGAGATGCTCACTGTAAAGTACTGCAGTTGACTTCATAAGAGAACTGTAATTTGATTACTGGTTACAAACAATAATCATAGTTTTGAGTACCTGTGGTGGAAGGTGACTGCTGACAATGTGTGATTATGTTGTTTTCCTGTAGGACTGGTACCACCAATCTTACGACTGTGTCTGTGTCATGTTTGCATCGGTACCAGATTTTAAGGTGTTTTATACAGAATGTGATGTCAATAAAGAAGGCCTGGAATGCTTGCGGCTGTTAAATGAAATCATTGCTGATTTTGATGAGGTAATTAAGCTTCTGGCAAAAATTGACTGGATTATATATTTACTGCAAAATAAAATGTTTCACTAGATCTGTGAGCATTAGAGGGGTAAAAAAAGGCTGTTCTGCTGAACTAATATTCTGACTTCAGCCTTGCAATCTTGACAAAGATATTCCCATCTCATGGGTTTTTGCAGTTACATCACCTAATGCGTTAGTAGTATGGCTTGAAAGTCCTGAATTTCAGGATTTTATTTCAGTACTTCAGTGCTTTTATTTCTCCTGTGAGCAGGTAGAGCAAAACTGTGAGACTAATCCTCAGTACGGTCTTATCTAGTCTTCATGTGATTGATAGCATTCCTAGAGATGTGTAATGGTTACTGTAGACAGTATAAGATTTCTGGTTAAATCCTGCACTGGAATATGGCATTAAAGTCTCAAGCTTCTGTTTTCCTTCCCTTCACACAGCTCTTGTTAAAACCTAAATTTAGTGGTGTTGAAAAAATAAAAACCATTGGAAGCACTTACATGGCAGCAGCCGGTCTCAGTGTTACACCAGGCCAAGAGAACAACCAGGTACGCTGTCTGGGAAATCTGCCTTCGGTATTCTGCATGTACATAGGTGCGTTTCAGAGTAACAAAATGTAATGTGATATAAAAGAGAAAGTAAATCAGCAAGACTGACTTTCTGAAATGTGGCAAAAGATGATAAAAGTGCATCGTCTCCTGCCGAATTCACTATTTATCTCCTAGTTCCATTTTTTCTCTTAAGTACGTATTAAGTCTGTGACGCTAGCATACTTTTTACATCTTTAGTCTTTGATTCCAGTAGTTTAACAATTCTAGATGCATAACAGAATAGCTCTGGGAAGTCAAAGAATGGCTGCCAAAGAAAAGGCCGTCTCAGAGCTGGACAGTAAGCTTTTTGTGATACCTGAGAACTGGCACAAACCCAGAATCGTCAAGTGCCACATTAGATCTGAATCTGAAACTGTCACCCAGAATAATTAAAACCAATTTCTGTACTCAGGCTCACTTTTACTGTAGCAGGTTCATGTATGACATTAGGATACATGTATGTAATAGATACAAAATGTAGAATTAAATCTGGAATCCTAAAGCACAGATACAAATTCGTTATAAAATTTAATCATATGCTTGTTGCCTCCTGGCCATTCCAATTTGATTTAATGTGATTGTTAAAATAAATTTTGGATGTTTGTTGAACTGTGGAATTCTGCACAGTTACAAGGATGAGTAGTTTCATCCTTACAAATATATACTTTATTCACCAGTAGTACTGGTTTGGAATAGTTGCCTGACACCACCTTCTGTCTTGTAATTTGATCGTGTATTTGCGTTATGAATTGCATAGGATAAGGAAAGACAGCATGCTCACATTGGGATTATGGTGGAATATGGAATTGCCTTGATGAGTAAACTGGATGGCATCAACCGACATTCCTTTAACAATTTCCGCTTACGTGTTGGTAAGTTCAGTTTGTGAAGAACGTGAACTCCGCAGCTCTGTAAAAATTAAAGATGAGGTAGCATGACTTAGGTAAATTGCTGAGTGCTGTGGAGGCCTTCTTAACGCTGAACACAGTATTTGGATTATTATAAAATGCTGACTAGCTGAAGGTAGCGCTGTCTAGGCTAGCTTTTTACATACGCCAAGCTCCTTCATGGATGGGCTCTTCCAATCCCTGGAGGGAGCAATATGAAGACTGCAGCTAGATGAGTTTAGAGAAAATTAAAGGTACGGTTGAAGAGTGAAGTCCCCTGTTATTAACTGTTGACTAAAGACAGTATTGTCATTATACAAATGTTTATATATATTAAAAGTAGAAAAGGAAGAATTTTGCTTTGGCATGAATTTTGCCCTAGCTCTTTCTCGGACTTCCCATTTTACAATGAATGAGTCACTTCACATCTCCTCAGCCTCAGTACTTGTATTTATAGAACAGTGGTAACAACGATTGCTAGAAATGTGTTGCAGGGTGAAGTTTGTTGTTTTGGTTTGTTTTCCCCTGTAGCTCAGGACTTATGGCTAATAATGAAGCTCGGTGTCATGTAACTTTCTACTGCTTTGACATTGCTTTTGTTTCTACAGGGATAAATCATGGCCCTGTGATTGCTGGAGTGATTGGTGCCCGGAAGCCTCAGTATGATATCTGGGGCAACACTGTTAATGTTGCCAGCCGAATGGAGAGTACAGGGGAACTCGGGAAAATCCAGGTAAACATATGAGCCTTGGGATGTGTAACAAATTATTTCTAATTGGTTATGGACTTTTTTTTTTTTTTAATGTGAGTAATCACAAGAATTTCACAAGATTTTCTGATTCTTTTCACACAAAGGTCACAGAAGAAACAAGTAAAATACTACAGGAGTTGGGATATTCCTGTGAATGTAGGGGACTCATTAACGTTAAAGGCAAGGGAGAACTGAGGACTTACTTTGTTTGCACCGAGACTGCCAAATTCCAAGGTATGGGACTGAACTGAGGCTATGATGAAGTTAATCAAAATAGACTTAGAACTGCCTCCCTTCTGTGAAGACTTAGAATTTCCCTCCTTATGTGAAGGACTTTATTCTAAAAACATATATATACTATTCCTATTTCTTCTACATCTCAAGATAAGAGAAATTTTTTGGTTTTGTTTTTGAGAGAAGTTCTGAGAAGTTCCTGGAAGACACGCAACCACCAGTCTGGAAAAGACTACTTTTTCCTGAAACAATTTGAGGATTTACCTGGAATTGCCATGAAGCATTTTCAGTTAGTTCCTTTCCTTACCTGCACTGTGGGAGTCTTAACAGCTCCAGCAACAACGTGCGTGGATGCACTGTAGAAGTCGTTACCACGTTCGACATTCCACTGCTGCACTCTTTGACACAGACCTGCCTACAAACAGTATTGCGTTTGTCACAGAGACGGGCGCAATGGTACTCTGGGCACTGCCAACCCTGCCTTTAATGCTGAACACACTTCACAGCAGAAGGTCGCTGAGCAATGGAAAGATATATCAAATATATCATGTGATAATTGTGCTGAGCTCCTTTGGAAAAAAAATAGTTGCACCGTATCGGATCACTTTTTTATTATCTTCGCCTCCTCCATAGTCGTACCTTGTATTACACAAATGTTGTCATGACCAACAGCTGTTCAGTGTTTACATTGTATTCCACGTTCTCCTTTGTATTTCTGTGCCTCTGTATTTAGTATCTGCATGCACATTTTATACAGTCACATAAATTAATGTCTTTACAATTCAAAAACTGTACCCAGTCGTGAGGAGCACTGAGCACCTGCAGTTTATCCTGCGTGCTTGGTTAGGCAGGCTCTGATAACGGCTTGCATCGCTGACAGCCGGCGGTGTTCTGCATGCTGACTGCATTCTTGAGAGCATGTATGGGAGAAAAGATAATCAGTTTTGAGTTGTTTGGAAACTGAAGAACAGAACTAGTAAGATAGGATTAGAAGCAGTAGCAGATGCTGTATAAACAGAACTGCGTCTGAGGTGGGTTTGGGGTTCTTTCTTCAATCTGACTAGCCCCTGGCTGGTTTATATACCTTTTAAAGGCAATGCAGTTTGTGAAACAAATTGGATTTGAAGGATGTATGGAAAAACATACTCATAATGTAAATGTTTCGGCAGAGCCTCAACACTAAAAGCACACGTAGAGCATTAGTGAGAAGATCGTGGAAATTGCCTTGTCGTAAATTAGTTTAACAGCTTAAAAACTTTACAAACTAATGGCTTTTGCTAATCTCTAAATTAGCATTTTTCTGCTTACTGCAGTTACTTAATCTGTTTTCTGTTGATGGAGATTGATAGTATTTTGTAAGGCTAACATCTTGTGCCCAATTATATGTATTAACTAGGATGGACTCCCCCTCCCCCGATATACCACACGTAGCATGACTAAACCGCACAGTGATTAATGAGTGCAACATCCGTTTTGTTAAGCCTTACTCTTCTACAAACAAAGCAGCATTTACTAATATTTCTGGGTTTAGTACTAAACCATACTGCAAAAGTGTTTAACAAGCAGTCCTATTCATCACTGCCGCTTTCTAATTACTGTGTAATTTCTTTAGAAGATGAAGTGAGTATGTTTCAAGACAGGAACAAATGTAAATATTGTCCAACTGTGGATTAAAAATTATGCTTATAGCCTTTGTCAATTTGGTAGGTCAAAACTCTGCTTGCAGTAAGTCTCCAACAGAAAAGAGCATGGTAGCAAACCTTAGTGTGAGGTTGTCTGGTTCATATATGGACTCTGCTGAAGGAGGAAGTTTCGTACTTGGTGTCTTGTGAGTGTAAGGTTAGTGTTGTAGTTGAATAAACTTCCAAACAGTTTTTTCTACGCTTGTATATTTGTAGTAACAGATGCTCAGCAAGCATTTGTTTTGAGATACTTATTTATTGTTTTGTAAGGACCACACGTGTGTCAAAGGCTCCTGTCAGCAGTCTTTGATGTCCTGTGTTAGGTAAAGCGACTATTTGCCTCATGAATGTTTAAAAGTGCATGATGCCTGTAGATAGAGCTGGCTCTGAAGTGTTGCTGTGCGCAGAACTAGTCAAGTGTAGATGTAAGTTATCTAGGAAGGAAAATTTGCTGTTTCTAACAGCATTTTGAAATGCTGCTGTTTACATTACATTGCCTGTCAGGCCAGTAACTTGCTTGGGTGTACCTTCAACTTAACCTCATTCACAGAAGGGGTAGAAAGAGCTGTTGCTTTCCAACTGGAAGAGGTGGGGTTTTGTTGCAGTTTTAAAAGGACGTTACACACTTGCACTGCTCACTCAGTGTCAGTGGACTGTGCAGGGCATGTGTGGAGACAGTAGAGACTGTGTGTAATGAAAAAGGGGTTGTACCTGAGGATGAATTTCTAATTTTTCATCAGAACTGGAATTGTATATGAGAGCTATATTTAACCACAGAAAAAGTTCAAGTTAGGAAGCAACTACATTTAAATAATTGTTTTAAGCAGTCCTTTGAGAGCGAACTGTGAAATTTAAGATTGAAGAACTAACCTTGTTAGAAATAACGTTCCTTACAGCATTACTGTTTTTTTAAACTGAAAAAATGGCACTGTATCTAATTTGAAGAGCTAGTAATGTCTTGAATTTAACAATCTATTTTAAAGAATAAACTTTTGTTTTTACCATTAAATAAAAACTTCCTGAAACTTGTTTGGTTTTGCAGTTATTTTGACGAAGATTCCCATGAAGAGTATTTCTTACACCCCTACAGAGTTAATGAGATTGTTTTTACTCATAAACTCAGTATTTATATTTTTTTTAAAAAAATGTGTAAGTGGAAAATACATAGAGTGACATACTTGCGTTCAACAGCTAAAGAGTAATTTCAGTGCTCCATTTTCTGTCATCTGTGGCCTTCTACTGCACTATATGAAAGGTAAGTGATGGGAAATGAGATGCTATAGAGTGAGCCCGTGATGAATTGGCTGGCACGGTTGCTGTGCATCTTGGTTTCTCCTGTAGCATGAAAATGACTTAAATATTAATGGAAAAATTCATTCCCTGGAGTAATATTTCAGCTGCAATTACCTAGAACTGAAAAAAATTTTAGCGGCGACTTTATTAAGAATTATTCTGGGACAACTGAAACTACTGGAGAAAACCCCAGGTTGGCAGCTCTTTTTGGAATTAATTGTAAAACTTGGGAAAGTTTAAAAACACCCAAATAAACACTTCTGCAGCCGTTTTTAGAGAGTAGGAAGGAAGGGAGTGTAGGGATGATGTTGGCCATAGGACTGGGGGTCCAAGGGTGGAATTCACAATTATGCTTTGCCTTTAAGTTACCTCTTAGTTCACTTCCACACCACTGTGCACAGGAGCAACTGCTATTGGATGGAGCTGAAACACTGCACGTCAGTCCTGCTCGAGTCCAAGGCTATGCTGGTACCGTGGGGTACAAAGGAGCAGCGTTTAAAAAGAGGTAAGGATGCCTGCGGTAGCACCCCCATATTGCGCCGCGTGATCGTGTGCAGGTCACGGGCGAGCGCAGGGAGAAGCCTACTGGCACGAGAGTCCCTGGCTCCGCACAGAACACTGCCGAGGCGCTCGGGTTCTCCTCTGGGCCCCAAAGCTGTACTGTCAGTCTGCTTTGTCTGCAGTTTTGCTGAGCAGAGAAGTGGCTTTAAATGCCAGGCGTTCTCTAAATACTCTCCTTTCTGGTAAGCAAGCCTGGAGTCGTTATCCAGCTAGTGTTTGGTAATACCCCCCAAGTAATAAGCAGAATTGTCTACGTGAGTGTCCTCAGAGTTGATAGTACCGCACTAATGTGATATTTTTACTTCCTGGCAGCAAGTGGGTTTGTTAGTCTTGCCTTGTTGTCATGATATGTTTCTAAGCTTGCCCTCAAGTTTTAGAATACTAGGAGCAGATGGCATCGTTTCTCTGAGGAGATGCAGCCACATTCAAATTCTCACAAAGCTGATCTTTTGTTAATTCATCAGCCTACATCAGTTTTATTTCAAAAGTTTATTTCTCTTCTGCATGATCGTAAGAGTTGCACAGTCATTTTAAAAAGGGAAACGGGCATGTTCAGATTCTAATGATTTCTGCCCCAACCAGATTCAGATATGGAGTCTATACACTGCTTTTAGAAACTTCTCGTCGAGTCCCTGCACCATACATAGGCACATTTTCACTTACGCTTTGAGTCTTCCAGACACTTAACAATCTAGGAAAACTTCAATGCTGCAGAGGAGCTTTAAAATAATGAGGAATGCAAAAATAATAATTTAGAGTTACTTCTGCTACATAAATGCACTAATACACCATTCAATTTCAAATGTCATCAGTTCCAAAATTTAATAAACAAAAGTAGTTTATCACACACTGTACACATGCTCGGTGAGTGCACCTGAAGGACATTTATCTGGTTCTTAAACAGAATCAAACAAACAGCTGTGAACTGGGCCGAAGCTTCAGACTGCGACTGGACTGCACTCGTTTTCAGGGCTGGTGACAGTCTTTTTAGGTTCTTGCAAGTCTGAAAGTTTACAACAGATACCAGGTCAATGAGTGTACAGAACTGTTAAATGACAGAAATGCAGATGCAATAGAGTACTCCTAAAGCTGTTGGTGCAGATAGTCCTGAGTTAGCTGTGTGCTCTGCAGCAGTCCCAGAAAATACCCTGTGTCAGTTCGTTCTGTCACATAGCCTCTCTTGTACAGTGCTATGAAAAAGAAATTGCTCAGCAATTTTGAAATTGAGATTTCTTGAGCAGTTTCCTTGAAAAGATAAGTAAGTTGCTGAACTAATCCTGCTCTTTTCATTAAATAACATCTTAACAGAAATTTTTTATAAACCACAGATTGAGTAGATTTGTTGTGTGAATTAACGTTTCTTGAAAGGAAATTCTGACCTGCCTTAAAAATTGGGGACGAACACAAACTCCGGGCACGCTTTTACCGTTCACGTGCCACAAGGGGGAGATCTGGTTCTGGCACTTCCCCACTGACCCGAT